GTTAGACTTAAGTAACTTATATTGGTGAATATCATAATGGTAATAAAGTTAGAAGATGGGATTTTTGGTATAAAGTGAATGAAGAAAATGTGAAGATGTAAAAATATTATTCATAAATTTTTGTTAGCGGAGGTGGATCATATGATGAAAAAGGGATTAAGTTGGATAATTGGATGGAAATACCGAATGGATTTAATAGGGATTCTGAAATAACTTATAATGGAAAATACGATAATGGTATAAAAGTTGGTAGATGGGATAGTTGGTATTAGGATTGGAGAAAGGAAAAAAATGAAAAGATGTAATAAATATTTTATAAATGTGGGTTTACAAATAGTGGTGGCGGATTATATTCGGAAGAAGGTGATGGGATTAAATTAGGTAGTTGGAATGAATTGTCAGATGAATTTGGATATTATAATTAAATAATTTATATTGGTGTATATAAAAATGGAAAAAAAGTGGGGAATTGGGTAGAGATGAATATAAGGAGAAATTAAAAATGTAGAGAAATGAATTATGATAATTGAACAATATTGAAAAAAATACCATTATAATAATTAGTGGAAATATTTAATTTTTTTAATTGGTTTTTATTAATAGACAAATAGTTTGTTTTAAACAGGAAATTAATTGTTTTTAGTTTAATGTGTATCATGTATATTTTTACAAATTTGAATAATCTAGTTTTAATATATCATATACAATTTCCACTATATTTATTCCTTCATAAGAAATATTAATTATCAATTTTTATTTTTTTATTTTGCTAGAAAATGCACTTTTTGTGCTGATTAGTAATTCACGTATAATTTATTATAATATTAAGTAAAATTGTATCATCGGATGTTAATCATCTAACTATCCTTGGAGGAAACGTTCTAATGGTAATTCTTTATAAAGATATTGCATCTAAATATATATTTAATATGTCCCCTTTTGGAGGTGTTAAAAATGATAGCTAGAGCAAATATTTTAATGCTATTAATCTCATATAAAAACATTTCTTTTTTTAATTTTTTGCTATAAATCAACTTATTATAAGACAATAAATTTACCACATTAATCAATTTTATAAATAATATTTTTCTTATTTTTAAAGCTCTAAATTATAAAAAAGAGTTTGTAATGTAATTTTCATGTGAAATTATACTAAATTTTCCTTTCCAACTTCAATTTTTTTCATTTTAAAATATATTTCTAGCCTTATTTAATTATAATAGAAATTTTACTTTTTTTCTTGCAGAGAGAATTTGCTTTATTAAACCTAATAATATTATTTTATATTTCTTTAAGATGAATATATTGCAAATTGTGTTGAAATCCAATTATTTTCTTTTTTACAATTAAATGCATTAATCAATCGAATTCACATTAAAGAATGAAATTAAACAATGACAAATAAAAGTTGCTTTAAAAATTTAATAAATAAATGTTAAATTAATAAAATTATTTATCATTTTCGTTATCAATAAAGTATAAAAATAAATTATCAAAATTAATAATAAATATTAAATAATGGATATAAGTTTACATTGGTTGGTAAACAGAAATTAACAATGTATGAGTTTGAATTTTTATGAGCATTTAATTTTATCCGACAAAAATATTATATTATTTTGTATCTATAAGATAATCTATAAATAATTTGAGATTGCTTTTAGAATAAGAATGGTAATTTTATTAAAAAAGATTAAAGAACTTTAGGACTCTAAAAAATAATCATTTTCCAAATAAATCAGAGCAATAATGTATTATTTTAATATAATTATTAGATGTTATGGGAAATTTCATTAATAAATTGTTAAACTATTCTTTTCTGTTTATTGCATAGTTAATAGGTTTACTATTTCTAGACTTCTTAAATACGACTTTGGAACCTTTTAAGTGTTTACAACATACTAAAGAGGAAATACTTAAACTTATAAAAATTTTATAGAATTTTTGGCAAATTAAAAGGTTATTTTTATCTTATAATGGTTTTGCTTTTGAAAAATAACATTAGAATAGATCAGTACGAATTTTAGGGTATGAAACTTATATAAATAATTATAACTTAAAAAGCAGTATTGATTATCAATTTATTATAAATAATAATGCAAATTATTATATTATTTATATTAATAATTTAATTAAAGAGTACAGCTTTGTTTTATGTTTTGAATGCTTAACTTGAAGAAGATCTTAGGCTCTTTATATAAGAGTTTGAATCAAACTTATAATATTTCTTGAAATAATGAAATAGGTTCAAAATTTTCATATCTAATTATTGATAAAACATAAAATTACTTAATATGAAAATGTCTATGAAGTATATAAACAATAAAAAGAGCAAGTCAATTTTTGAAATGTTAAGTTATTAAAAACTTTTAACTTTCTCATGATTGTTATGGGACTATTAATCCAGTTACTTAATTTATGAGATTCTAATTGGCGTAATCTACCTATAAAAATTAAATTTTATTATACAGGTTGATAGAATTATTATGATATAAAAATTCTATCATCAAGTTAATCAATTAAAACACTGTTGTGTATATAAGTTTTGAATTCCTGGTAATAATAATAAAAAAAGTATATTTTTTTATTCTTATAAAGTGAAATATATACTTATATTGAAATTTCATATTTTATTATCAATAATGTATTAACATGTTATAGATTAAAATTAAGAGGTATAGAAATAAATATATAAATATGAAATATGCTTAGCAATTGCAATTGCAATTAAAAATGATAACTCAATGTTGCTTACTGGATGGGATAACAAAGTTCTTGCCCATATTTTTAAACAAGGAAAATTAAAATAAATAAAATTCTTGCATCAACATGAATCTGAAATATCTACGCTCAATTTTTGTTCAAGAAATTCAAATATTATCTCTGGCTCACTCGATGGTTCAATAATAATTTAATCAATCTAATAAATATCAACAACAAAATGGATTTAAAAATTAAAGGGTCAAGATGACATTATGTGTTTAGCTATAAGTCCACTATCTGAAGACTTGATTGTCTCAGGCAGTCGAGATAATAGCATCAAATTTTGGCAATGTATTAGCAAATAATTTTCATGTACTTAAACTATTCAAGAACATAATAATTGTGTATGTGGATTATCTATTAATGAATAAGAAAACACAGTTATTTCATGCAGTTTAGATTAATTGATTATAATATTCGAATAAGTTAAAAACAATAATTATGTAAGTTGGGTTGTGAAACAAAAAATATTAGTTGATTAATATGGCTATCGTATAAGCTTTATTAATCAAAATATATTTGTATTCTAACCCGAATAGATTATTGATTCAAAATTACTTATTTACACTCTTAATGATTAGAAATTATTTTTTCAAAGTAATCATCTTTCAATAAAAGATGGAGGAATATCATGCTATTATTTTTTTCCCCTAATATATAATCTAAAAAAAAATATCCTTATCAATAAAAATAACAATAATATTAATGTAATAAGAGTATTAAAATAAAATAAGGAGGAGGAATGTGTTGAATTTAGGCTAGAATAGATAATAGAATTTGAAAATAGTTGTATTTTTGGTACTTTAAGTAATGATGGAGAATATTTAGTGACATGGGACGAAACATACAAGTAAATTTAGATAAGAAAATACTAAGAGATGGAATGATTTGATTTATTTAATTTTTCATAATTCATATTGTAAATTGATAAACTATAGATTATAATTAGTAATCTCTTATATTAAATAAATTTAAGTTTATTTTCTTAATGATAATTAAAATAACACATAAATATAATATTAATCCCATAATAAATGCCAGAATTATAAATATTATTACAGCTATTGAAAAAAGCCTCTTCAAATACTTACCTAATATTTTATAGCATGAATATATAAAATAATATCAATCAGTACTTTTGATCTTTCAAATAGGAATTGAAGTAGTTAAACATTTAAATTGGATATTTTATGTAGCAACCTAAATAATCAAGTTTTTATTCCATCCATTAAATTGCTTTTTTATCCATTTCAAAAAGTAAAATTAATAACAACAACATTCTTATGCTCTTATCATCTAATAAATAAATTATATTTAAATATTACTTTGATTTCATGAGTCTTAGGGTATGCTAGATCATACATTAATTAAACCGTAATGTATTAAGGATCTGATGGACTAAAAATTTAATCCTATGCTCAATATCAATTCCTAAACAATTGCTATTATTTCTGTTAATGTGACAGTTACAAAAAAATTAATACCGTGCTTTGAATATTAGAAAAAAAGTTTCTTATTCTTCATTTCTGTTCCAAGTATTCAACTGATTGCCATTATCAATATACCAAAAGCCCTCTCAAATACAGACTTAAATTAAAGCATTATGCTTTATAGTTTTATAAACAATCACATTTCTATATAGATTATTAATGCATTTTTTAAATATTAAACTCGCTCATATAACAGAATATTCCTTTAACTTTAAATTGTATATCAGATAATTAATTATCTTAAAATTTTGAAAAAATTGAAAGCTTTTCAAAGCAATCTCCCTAAAAAGTATTTTTAATTTACAAAATATTTGTATTATAATAATCTCATAACAAAAAAAATAATATTAGTTATATAGATTATTTTAGAAAAGGTGATAAAGTGAAATAAAGTGAAAAAAAATATCAAATTCTCGCAATTATGAACTTAATTTTTATATTTTATTCAACTATATTAAGAGAATTATCCGTATAAAAGATATAGAGTAATTAATAATTTATAGTTTTCACATCTAATCTATTGCTTGCTTGATGACTTTTGTGATTTTGAATAAATAATCAAAAATATTATTTAAAAATGGCTGTGGTATATATAATGAGAGAAAAATAAAGTTAATTAACTTTAAATCATGTTAACTAATTAATTAAAAACTTATAAATAGTACTATTTTGCAACAAAATGATAACTTTTAATTTACTAAAATGTTAATATTTAAATTTGATCTAAAAAAGAAGATTAAATAAATTTTTATTCTATTATTTACATAAAATATCTAAATTCAATAAAAATAACTTATTATAAATAACACAATAATTTATTAAAAAATTTTTATCATTTCTAAGAATAAATGTAAATTACATTAATTATTAATTCAATTTTGATTTTCATTGGTAATTGAAAAATTTAATTTTGGTTATTCCTTTATATATAACAAGTAATTCAACTTGGATTAAAAGTTTAAATCTCTTAAAAAAAAATGATTATTATTAGATAATTCTAAAATTTAATATAGGATAATAAATCTATTATGACTCAAATGTTAATTTTAGATAATCAAAACTGTTAAAATTAAGATAAAAGATGAAGCTAATATGAGTTATAAAATTATCTGAAGATGACATATAATTCTAAACTGAAAATTCAACATTTTATTTGAATCTGTTAAAACCATTACTTCGAGTTAATTTATGAATAGTTAAATTAAATTATTCTTCTGTCTGAAAAATTAATGTAATTTCCAATTTAATTAATTACTATATATTTTTCAAAACTTATATTAGCGTTAAAATGCATTTCATTTTTAATTATTGTTAAACTAAATATTTTTTATTATCCCCTATATACAAAATAAATGGTTTGTATTTTTCAAATGCATGGTTGCTCTTAATTTTAATAGATTAATTGTATTAAGGTAATATAAAGTTCAATAATTATTCATAATTTACAATTTAAAAAATCAGATTGATTTTGATTATAGATTTAAAAAGGATAGGAACACCATTAGAAGAATATGGAAAATACGTTTATAAGGAGGTAAGTGCTTGCGATTTATTTCTGGTTGCTCAGATATAGTTTCAGCTTCTAGTTAACATGAATTTAAAACTATTATCTCGGGATGATCATATTTCAGTGGTAAATATTATGCTAAGGTTTCTACTAGTAATTGTCCCTAATATTTTCAACTTAAATCACAACTGATACTTTAAAATCTCTTTATTGTATAAGTATCAAAGAAGAAAGTTAATTTAGTAGACGAATATTTTATGAAAATAAATGTGAACTTGCATCTAATCAAGATTGTACTGGGATATTAATTCCTATCTCATGCAGTTGGGATTCTTATAGTCATTCAACTTCAAGTTCATTCAAATCAGCATATTTTCTAGCTGAATCACATAAAGACAGAACGAAAATGTGTAAATATACTTCTGGAAAAATTTGTAGCAATGCAACATGTATAGATATTCCATCGAAGCTCCTATTGATTTTTATAATAATTATAAAATAACATGTTAATTCTATAAAAATCTTGATAAAACTAAAATTTGTGAATTATAATTTCTATTTTTAAAGATTTATGTTTTATTCTTATATTTTAACTTCTAAAGAATTATTGATTACTAATTAATTTATGAAATATCTTTAAGTATCCAAAGTATTTTGGTTTTCTAATTTAATACTTAGAAAATTATGTTATTCGATTATTTATAATGTTAATGCTCTTTTTGTTTCAAGCTTTTCATTAATGTGATCATTGATATTTATCAACTATAAGATTTCCAGTACTAATAGATGAAGGATAAAAGTACATCTTTACTTATAATTTTCTCATTTAACAAATAAGATTTATTATTATATACCATTTAATAAGTATAATTAGAATAGCATTTGAAAGGTGAAAGTTTCAAGGTAACAACAATCAATTAGAATAAGTAATAAAATTCATAAATAAACTCAAAGTTAATATTTTAATGGCAATGCAATGGTTTCAAATTGAGACTTTTTTTTTAAGAAAAAATAATTTTATGGATTTCAAAAATTAACTTAATCTAATAAGGTTAAAATTCATTCAAAAAACTAATAAAATTTGAGTGCATGGAATCATAATAAAAAAAATCAAATCAGAAAGATAACATCTTTTTTAAAAATGACCCTGCTTTTTTACCAAAAAATACATTAGTAGATTTGAGTGTATATTTATATTGATTTTTAGTCTACTTTAATTTAGAAAATTTGATAAGAACTTTTCAAAGTTATATAAATATTTAATTGTATAGATTTTAATTGTCTTTTTCAATAAAGCAAACATTATAGAAGAAAATTAATTTTCTAGAAGGATTTGATTATAAAACTAAATATCATATAATTATAAATTAATTAATTAAAATAATGAATATGAGTAAGATTTTTACAAAAATGATAGAATAAGAATAATAATTGGCTTGTGCATATGGGCATAATCAACGAATTATCACTGTTGCGCTAGATTCAGATATACCTCAATCTTAAAGACTCTATTGTGAGTAATGTTTAGATACAGCAGAAGGATATTCTAAACTGCTATCATATAAAAAAGTAGTAAGCCTGATTTAAGAAGAATTAAAAAAGAAAGCAGAATATGTTGAAAAGCTAATTTATTT